TTGTTGATCAATCTGTAGACCTTCTGTGCGCCTCTGGCTAAGACTTCGCCTTCGCTGTGCATGGAAATGCCCTTTCCTGCACATGGTTCTCTAGTTTCGTTGTGGGGCAAAAGAAGGTGGCGGCGCAAGGTGATGCAGAAAAGAAAAGGAAGGCAATCTGGAAGTTCGTGGAAATTCGTCTTATCCAGCCGTGAATTTTGGGCAATGGACGTTTTCCGGATAGACATTATTCCAACATTTTAGGCAGATGGGAGCAGGGCTCTGCTATCATTTTCGGACGCAAGGGCGTGGAGGTTCGAAAGTAACGGTGGACGCGCCAATTTGGAAGCGTGGCGACAGATAGGGCGCGTTCGACCCTCCTTCTGGGACTCTAGTTTCCCCACATTCTGGCACGTCTTCCGTCACAGATGCACGACTCCACTATTTTCTTCCCTACCTGCCGACTGAGTACGACTTCTCGTCAAGGTTCCCCGTCTCTGATGGTTCTTCCGCTCACCCCATTGCCTTTTCCGCTATGCATGCTCTGCCTATATGAGCAGACGATTTACCACCACTTAAGCCGCACTCACACTCTGCGACCCGAGTGATTTAGTCGCGCGTCCGCGGGCGGTCGCGCGCCGCAGTTCATTGTTGGAGTGCTGCAACAGTCGAAAGAAGTCCAGCATGAGCAATCGCAGCGGTTCAGTACTTAGTGGAGATGCACCGTGAATGCACTCGCGCACTCATTGCCCGCGACAACAGATCGTTCGATTCGCGAGCTATGAACGTAATCTTACCTCCGAGAAATCTTACAGAGATAAAAACAAAACATAATTGTTGTTATCTACGGTAAATTCCTGCACTCCAGGACCTTCCTGCTTCTGAACTGTGTGTTTTCAATCGCTTTAAACTGTATATTTTCAGCTGCTGACTAATCCGCATGCTCCAAGCTCATGTCGAACGAACCAAGTTGTACAGGATATTCCGGCCTTTGCCAAAGACTTCCAGTGTAAACTTGGCCAGAAGATGTACCCCCTACCTGACCAGCGATGTAAGGTGTGGGTTGGATGACAAACTCTGGAAGCTTATGTGATCAACAAAATTCACCTATTTTGAAATAAGTGCCTGGAACACTTCACATGGTATGCTCACTTGATCCTCTCGTCCACAGAGGCAGCCAAGCTGTCGATGAGATGAGAGGATCAAGTGTGCATACCATGTGAGCTGTCGATGAGAAGCTCAACTTTTCAAATAGATTGAGTAGATTAGGTGATGCGTACGTGTGAAGAGTTTCATGTGTATGTTCGGATGGTTCATTAAAGATTTGATAAATTTTTGCAAACCGTGAACTGACAATGTCGGTACCCATGCAAAATCCCGTGAAAATAGATCAAACAATTTTTGTTTCTTTCATAAAATGCTTTGGAGACCGACAGTGGATTGTTCTTTCCACAGGTTGGTATCACAGACAGGGTACGAGCATCGTTGTGTCAAACCAAGGGGGGTGGGCGTACTCACACCGACATTTTTCGTACAATCCGCTGACTGTATACCCTGTCCACAGATGTCGTCTCGAACACCTCCTGTCCTTTACCGTGCGAGGACTCCAGAGCGTCGCATTTGCCATTTGCCCGAAGAGAATCTTGCGTTCGTCAGAGCGGTTCGTATAAGAGGCCTCCATCTCGATTTTAGTTGTCACGAGAATGCCTAACTTAGTTATGTGCCCAAAGCGTTGGCTGGCTCGAACCCGGCACCTCAGCCGCTTATCGGCGAGTGCGGAAAGAGCGATTTCTTGAACTCTGTGTCGTCAAACGCGTTCTATAAGAGGCTCCATCTCGATTTTAGTTGTCACGAGAATGCTGAGTTATGTGCAAAGCCTGGGCTGGACTCGAACCCGCACCTCACGCTTACCGAGCGAGTGCGCTACGCGCAAAGGGATTTCTTGAACTATGAGACTCCCTGAGCATCGTTCACCCTACAGCAGCTCAGGTTTGGGAATTTAAGCTGGAATTTGGTTGAAAGCTCACCGGAGGATGGTGGTTTCGGTGGTATGCTCCCACAGAGGAGAGGGTGACCATCGTTCCGCGTGGAATAACCTTGCCCGCCGTACAAGCGTTGGCGCGTGCGTCAAATAGCAGGCGTCAAAGCGGCAGAGAAGCTTGACGCTGGCGCCTGGCAATTGCGCGCTCTCGCTTTCGCGAAAAGGGGCTGTATCCTGTTAGTGGAGCAGTGAGGGTAGAGATAGCCCCGGTTTATTCCTTGAAGACACTGTCGACTACGGAAATATGGCGGACATAGTCTTCATCACATGAAATATACCATTTTCATTCTAAATCACACTTTTCGAACCGAATCGGACATTTCTCCAATCAAATCGGGCACTCCCCTTACACCGAGCACTTGATAACTGGACCACCTAAGTGCTGCTGTAAACCCCATCCCAACATCTCCGCTCACTTCTCAGCGCGGTCATGATTTTTCGCGCATGACTTCTGAATTATGTTCTGTTCTGACTTTTTTGCACTTTTGCTATTTCTCACAACCGCCACAGATTCGACTCCACCCCTTTTTCAATGGAATTATCGTTTTAAATTTTCATAACTC